GCAATAATCTGACTGGCACGATCCCAGAAAACATTGGAAATTGCACAAGCTTTGAGATCCTGTAAGTTTTTGTTTTGGAGTTTAAATTCATGCCAACCCTAATAAAAAAGAAGCTTTTGGATTTGATTCTCATAATATGTTTTGGGTGGCTGTGATAGGGATATATCGTATAATCAGATCACAGGGGAAATTCCATACAACATTGGGTTTTTGCAAGTGGCTACGCTGTAAGTTTTATTGCTTTCGACTTTGTTGTTGTTGTTGTGACTGTTAGTGTAGTTATTCTAGAGTTCAGCTTAGTAAAATACTAAAATGTTATGGCGGATTCTTTTAGGTCCCTTCAAGGGAATAGACTGACAGGAAAAATCCCTGAGGTGATTGGTCTAATGCAGGCTCTTGCTGTCCTGTAAGTGCCTTGTTTAATCTTGTGAGAATGTGTTCCAGTAGAATTTTGAAGTAGTGTTTGTTGTTTGCTTGCATGTTACGGAGGTTCATCTTTTTCATTGATTTTGTCTGTCTTCCAGGGATTTGAGTGAGAACGAACTAGTAGGGCCAATCCCACCAATATTTGGCAATTTATCCTACACTGGGAAATTGTAAGCTCTTGGCTTTGAGGGATGATGTCACCTTCAGTGGTTCATAATTTTGTTTTGACACATTTCTTTTTTGGTGCAGATACCTACATGGCAACAAGTTGACTGGGTCAATTCCTCCTGAACTTGGGAATATGTCAAAGCTTAGCTACTTGTGAGATGCCTAATATGATATTCAGAATTACAAACCCATAGATGCTATGTGTTGTTACTCTCCATGTCTTAATTTACTTCTCTATGCAGGCAATTGAACGACAACAAACTGGTTGGGAGAATTCCTGCTGAGCTTGGGAAGCTGGAGCAGTTGTTTGAGTTGTGAGTATTTATTGTTCTAGAATTCTTGGTCCTTAATGTTCCTAGTGTTATTGTTATTTACTTCAATGTTATGGGTCAGGAATCTTGCCAACAATGTTCTGGAAGGTCCCATTCCACATGATATCAGTTCCTGCACCGCCTTGAATCAATTGTATGATATCTTACACATGACTACCACCTGAGTTTAATGGCATGTGTAACTTTATGATATTGATTAAATTTCATGTGAATGCTGGTTTTATTTAAGCAATGTGCATGGAAACCGCTTGACTGGGTCCATCCCTCTGACATTCCGAAATCTGCAGAGTTTGACTTATCTGTGAGTTTTTCTGTTTTAAACATTGTTTATTGCTTGTGCTTCAGATGATCTTAATTGTATATTGATAAAATCAATTGATTGAACCTTCAGGAACTTGTCAAGGAACTATTTTAGTGGGAGAATAGCTATTGAGTTGGGACGCATCATCAATCTGGACACATTGTGAGTTTCTAGGTGTCATTAATTTTGCCTTAAAGCTGCTATTTCAGATTTAAGTGACATTGTATTGCCAATATTTTCAGGGATCTGTCGAGCAATAACTTTTCTGGCCCTGTTCCAGCTTCGGTTGGTGATCTTGAGCACCTTCTGACCTTGTACGTCTACATTTGTACGTTCTTGCTATATATATTCACTTTGTGTGTAACCTGACTCTTAATACACATCGTTACATGCAGAAATTTGAGTGGTAATCATCTTAATGGTTCTTTGCCAGCAGAATTTGGGAACCTCAGGAGTGTTCAAACTATGTAAGCCTTTAATAGGACACTATAGTTCTTATAATTTCGTAGAAGAAACTCGTGCCTTTCTAATTTTTTTTGTGCCTTTATTTGAATGCTTTACAGTGATATGTCATTCAACAATCTTTCCGGGAGCATCCCAGGAGAATTGGGGCAGTTGCAGAACCTTGCAGCACTGTAAGCTCCCTACCCACCTTCTTCATCAAGCCATGTCTCAGTTTTTATGCTCTACATAATTCATCGTGCTGAATCTATTTGTGTTTGAATTTCAATAGGATACTCAATAACAACAACTTGAATGGAACAATACCTGATCAGCTAACCAACTGTTTCAGTCTTGCCACCTTGTGAGTTTTGCTTCTTGAATCTTATCATATTCATTTTTGTATTTTCCAAAGCATTTCTTAATGCTGTTTCATCTATGTTTCAGGAATTTCTCGTACAACAATCTATCAGGCGTTGTACCTCCCATGAGGAACTTTTCACGATTTTTGCCAGACAGGTATGCAAGGAAACACACTAAGTTGCTGTTTTGTATATTGGCTAGTGCTGATTCAAGATGTCTGTTTCAGCTTTACTGGAAACCCGTTGTTGTGTGGCAACTGGTTAGGATCGATATGTAGTCCTGCCACAAAATCCAGGGGTAAAAGTTTAGACTGTTTTCTCATTTTGCTGCGCTAATGGAACTCTATGGTATTTGACCTCCTATATCTAGTCCAAATTTTAACAAAGTATCCTTCGGATTTATACTTGCAGCTCTATTCTCCAGAACAGCCGTCGTTTGTATGGCCTTAGGCTTCATCACATTGTTATCCATGGTAATAGTTGCAGTTTACAAATCCAACCAACCAAAGGATTTAACGATGGGTTCTGGCAAGTCCGGGCAAGGTATTTACTCCCTTTTTTTAATCTTTTATTTATCTTGGTTTTTGTATTATTGACGTACTGCCTTATGAAGATCCGTTTTTCTTTCCAGGTCCTCCTAAACTTGTAATCCTTCACATGGATATGGCTGTACACACCTTTGACGATATAATGAGAATTACTGAGAATCTAAATGAGAAGTATATTATAGGTTATGGTGCTTCTAGTACAGTGTACAAGTGTATACTAAAGAATTCCCGACCCATGGCAATTAAGCGACTCTACACTCGGTATCCTAATGACATGCGGGAGTTTGAGACTGAACTTGAAACCGTTGGCAGAATCAAGCACAGAAATCTTGTCAGTCTGCATGGCTATTCACTGTCTCCCCATGGAAATCTACTCTTCTATGACTATATGGAGAACGGATCTCTATGGGATCTGCTTCACGGTTAGCCCTCCTCTAACTGTCATGTTTTATTGTTTTTTCGGAAAGAATACCATTGTACTCGTATACTTACTGTGTTTCCAATATTCATGGCAGGACCATCAAAGAAGGTTAAACTTGACTGGGAAACGCGGTTGAAAATAGCGGTTGGCGCAGCACAGGGACTTGCTTATCTTCACCATGATTGCAACCCCCGAATCATTCACAGGGATGTTAAATCCTCAAACATTTTGCTGGACGAGAATTTTGAGGCTCATCTCTCTGATTTTGGAGTTGCAAAATTTATCCCAACTGCAGAGACTCATGCATCAACTTATGTTCTTGGAACAATTGGCTACATTGATCCAGAATATGCCCGAACCTCCCGTGTCACTGAAAAGTCTGACGTGTATAGCTTTGGGGTCGTGCTTCTTGAGCTACTGACCGGGAAAAAGGCTGTGGAACAGGATTCCAACTTGCATCAACTGGTATGTTTCTAGATCAAAGTTTAGGCTACGTAAAGAACTCTGCTCGACGTAAAATTTTGCTACATGACGAACTTTGTTTATTCGGTATCATTTTCTTGAGCTTGCTTTAAATTGAGATCTGTTTATCTCAGATACTGTCCAAGGCTGATACCAATACCGTAATGGAGTCTGTCGACCCTGAGGTTTCGGTTACTTGCATGGATTTATCTCATGTCAGGAAGACCTTCCAGCTCGCCCTCCTGTGCACCAAGCGAAACCCTACTGAAAGACCAACCATGCACGAGGTTGCAAGGGTTCTGGTCTCCCTCCTTCCTGCGCCGGCCACAAAACATTGTTCCATTCCAAAGGGCATTGACTACGCCAAGTTTGTGGCCGACAAGGAACAACAGAGGCCAAAATCGCAGCAGCAACAGCCGAGGCCAGTTCAGCAAGAGAGCCATTCATCCGACGCTCAGTGGTTTGTCCGCTTCGGCGAAGTCATATCCAAGAACACGCTTTGAATGAAAGCTTCAAATTAGCCCTTTGCCTTTAAAACAGCTGAAATTACACTATAAGATTGGATGAAGTGGGGGATTGAGAAGGAAAATCCCAGTTTTGGTTCATCTGCTAGTACCAGTAGCAGTAGACGAAATATAATATATGAAATCGCCAGGTGTTATGACACATCTTTTGGTACGACGTCGTATAAGCAGGAATTGAAAAGTAAGAACTAGTTTTTGTAACCACCTATATATTTTGTTGAAGAAATGCTACTTGTCGTATTATGTCATGATCCCTCTCTGGTTGGTTGTTTACGTTTTACTTTTTACCGTAGCGAAAGTGAAAGTGAAAGTGAAAAGTGAAAGTATCCACAAAGATTCGGGATGAATGTCTGAAAAGGCATCTGCTTTCTGAAAACGGGTTCACGAGGGAATTTATGATTTCTGAAGTTGAAAGAACATCAAATTAATGTTTTTATCAGAGGCGCTAGTTGTGGGATTTTCCAAGGTAACAGGCGGATCTATGTTCTTGGTTTTTGTACCCAAAGTTACAGACGAGGGACCAAACTTGATCTCCTTCAAGTAGACGCTACCTTTGGGCAAAATCGAGACACTCACATAAAACCGATGTTGTTCTACACTTGTTATGCATGTGCTTTATGTTCATATGGGCATTGGTATGATCGGTTTGAAATGCCTTCCTCGCGTCCCATTTTGTATGGGTCCTTATTGCAACTCACATGATCTGAAACCTCTCCGAATCTCTTTGCTTAGAGCTAAAAAATTAGTAGATCTGAGCAGTTGAAGAGAGAGATGCACACCCTTGACTTGTGTGAGGTGGACCAGTAGAATGAGTTAATGAGGGTTGCATGATTTAAAATGAGTACGGAATTCCTGATTCGTCGGCTCCAAACACAGAGATCTGAAGAAGGTGTCAACTCCTTATAAAGGAGCTGATGTGAGGAGTTCGAGCAACAAGGGGATCAAAAATAACAAAAAAGATTATTTATGCAACGGTTTTGACATTTTCAATTAAATGATATAAAATTTTCAGTTTGAAAGACCTAAAACTAAATCGAAAGTGCGAAAATTGGTACCTTAGTTTTTGCACTGTATAGCCCATGTTCATGCCCTCCTGGCTCTATTGTGTGCATTGAGATTTGTAGGTATTCAAATTTCTTGTTTTTCCTTTTTCTCGTTTCATAATTCCCAAACAAAAGTCAACTTGTAGGTTCATTTCGAACTGTAGCACCACAATATAAGTTAACCAGCTTTAAAATCATGCTAGATTTTCACCGGCTGTTTTCTAATCGAGGAATCCACTTCTTTTACTCAAACAATGATATATCTGCTTCCCACTTAACCACCTATTTTTCTTTCGTGACATCCTGTCATTTTCATCGTTTTGAAGCTCGTTTGTTAACCATATAATGCTACGAGACTATGAGCCCTATGTATTAAAAAGAATTCAATTTAGTTAGATTACTTCGTCAACAAAATTAATACGCCACAAAGAAAATACTAGATGATATAAAAAGAGCGACCCCAACCCAATAAATCTTTCTACTTTGTGAGGGTTGGGAGGAGAACGTCTACCGTACGCAGTCTTACTCTTGTTTTACAAGAAAACTATTTTCACGACTCAAACTTGCGACTTTTCGATATGGAGCAACTTTTCAGTTGCGCCAAAGATCGCCCTCAAAATACAAAGTGATATAAACTTATAATTTACCTCATGATCTTGCTGAAAGGAGCTTTGGTCTGTTCACTTTTGTGGCCTTATTTCAATTAGTGGGAGCAATCAATCTTGTATTAATATAACAAATTCGGAGCTTGGTCTCTTAGGCGTTTCACTAATCACGTTACGAAGAGAGATTAATGATTAATCTTACCAGGCAAAGGCACTTTTTGACTGAGGTTTTGTATTATACTGTTCTTCGGATCCAAAGGAGAGCTGGAAAATGTCAAAAAATAAGATATTGAGGAGTTAAAAGTTGAAAACTTTAATAAATTTAAAACGACAATAGAAACTTACATGCAATCAGATGTCAGGTGGTGATATTCCATGCTTATCATGCGTCACTATGTGTTGGACTTTTACTCACATAACATGAAATGTTTTGTTTGAAATACCTTCATCTCAAATTGCATGCAAGTTTTTATGTAAAATTAGCGAACTGAGATATTGCTCCTACCTTACTAAATGAATCTGCTGGTGGTTCCTTTAGGCATCTCTTGTCGATTGCAAACTTTAATTCCTGCATACAATTTAAAGCATCGCATTAAGATTATGCACATAAAAAAATTAAAAAAAAAAGGCTGAGTTAGATAACCTTATTTGTAAGAGAGCAAGCTACGCATTTATAAACCATTCCTCTTTTCTCCTGCTTTAAGGCATACGCAGAGTTTGTTATTGGAATTATTGAGGGCAAGCATTAACGCAATGGAAAAATTACTCATTTGTTTGCGAAATGTCACGGGTTTGAGTTATGGAAACAAGCTCTTTGCAAAGCAAGGGTAATACCGCATACGATAGACATTCTCTCGACTTTCGTAAAGTAGGAAGTTTTGTTGGCTTGTGATCGCTTTTTTTTTTTTTACTATTGAACTTATTAACCTTAAGAGGTCGCACTTGGTGCGATGGCAAGTGCCTTCGCCCATGAGCGGTAGGTCTCGGGTTCGAGACTTGGGAGCAGCCTCTCCATAAATGGGGGTAAGGCTAGCCGACATTCACCTCTCCCAGACCCTGCGTAAAGCGGGAGCCTTGTGCACTGGGTACGACCTTTTTGAACTTATTAACCTTAAAAGTAAAAATCAAATTTGAAGATGGAAAAATTCCATGAGTGCAAGGTAAAACTACACAGAAATTACACAAGATGGGATTCATTTGACAAGCTAAAAGGCAGAGATAGTTACCCTTAGATCTCTGTAGTTTCATTTTCTGATAAATAACTAGAATCAGGTCCATTTGTTACCTGCAGTGACAATATTATTTCGTCGTAAGAGTTGACAAAAATTATTAAGTTCAAATTCAAATAATCGGACAAGTTTCAGAGGGTTACATGGTGATCGTATGTCTGTTGCATAACTCACGCTGATGTCCGAAGGCGAAACATCTAATGACAATCAAATTAAGAACATTATGAGGTGCATTTGTTACCGCAAGTCAAGTCATTTTGCTAAGAGAAAACTTCAGTAGGAGTGGCTGGCCTTGTCGTTAAGTATTATGTATTTTGATCTCATCCGAATCACGCTGCCTAACTACTAACTAGGGCAACTTTGCCGAGGTTTCTCTCCTTTGCAAAGACAGTCCAAGGAAATACGGTACAATGTTCTATGATTACCTGAAACTCTGTTGCTGGAATTGTGCTCTTTTTCGGGCTAGGCCATGGAGGAGCCCTGTGAATCTGCAGACCAAAATATCAAAGAAACGAAAGATCTCAAGATCGTATAAATTAGAACGTGTTCGAAAGGGTAATGAACAATTTCAATTCGAGCATTAAAAGGAGTATGAACTTGCTTTTGATTCTTCTCCTGGTTTGGCATTAACCTTATACCTGAAAATCAGTGTTATAAGCTCATTAGGTAGACTTTCATACACCAAACAAAATATTTTACCAAAATCATGCAAGAGGTGAATGTACCTACGTCTTTGTGCTCTATTTGCTGTTTCCAAATTTGGTTCCTTCGGAACGGTAACTTTAGGTCTGGCAGCATCAGCTCCGACCTGCACGCCACGAAGAAAAACTATTTTTCTCTTACTTCGAATGAAACTAAAATGTTATTTTCACGATCAAAAGCACATAACCTTGTTTTCGTAAAATGTATGTTACCATTTTCGACACCTTGTGTAACCAGAGAGGTTGATGCTTGAGTTTTTCAGCAACCTGCTTCACAAATGTATAAAGAGCCCTTCAGAAATTCTTATGAAAGATTCATAAACTATTGAACCTCGTTAATCACAACTGGGTGGTTTAAATACGCTATTCAACTTGAGTGTAACAACCTCATATCGATCATAATAAAGTACGCGATTCAACAAAGATCAAACAGATAAGAGATGCAAAAACTATCAAATGAAAAAATGTTCGAGTGCACCTTGCGTACATAGCCAGCCTCCAACTTCATTCTTTTCGTAGGTGCCGGAGAATTCTGTGATTTCTGTTGGAGTTTGAATGAAATTTCAACTCAAATGTAGGGTATTGTTGGAAATTTGAGTAGTTTGAGTAGAAATTTCTTTGTCCCACATTGGCCATTTCCAAAAGATTTTATCACTTTATAAGGTTTTGTCCTTTATAAAAAGTGATTGGAGTAATAGGCCTGGAGACTAAAATTGGGCTCACCTTTGAGGTTGGGCTTAGGGATGTATTAATTAATTGATAATTAATATATATAATTAATTATAATTAATATATAATTAAATCCCAAAAGATGGGCCTTGGGCCTCTTGGGCTCTAATAATTAAATTAATTAATTATTTTTACCAACAGACTCATCTTTTCAGATGAAGTCTGAAGTGTGAAAACGCAGAAACAAAAACACCCTTTTCAGCATGAAGTCTGAAGTGTGAAAACGCAGAAACAAAAACACCATTTTCAGCAGATGTCTCCCAACAGATGCATCCCTTTCTCATACCTGTTGCGAACAGGTATAATCACATTATATATACATCCATCTGCATGACATTTAGAAAACATAAAAATCATAAATCTTCTCCTGCAATCATAAATATCCTTTATGAGAGAACCACATTAATATTCGCCAGAAGTCAATTTTCCGGTGCTGGAATTTCTGACTTATATCGTTGAATCCTGGTGAAGCAGACGTCCGTAGAACTACAAGCACTGAGTAGGGACGAAATTTCTGTTTCAAGGACATTGCGGTACGCAAGCCTCGATCTTCAAGTTGTCTGTTTTTATAATTCGTATTCTAGTTTATATTCTGTTAATTCCTATTGCATTTATTGTTTATTAGCATATATATATTTAAATCACAGATTGTTGACTTATATCCAACAATTTCTTATCAAGTTTCCCGAGCTTTTTCGCCACTCTGTGTAATCAAGAGTCAGAAAAAGGCACTAGTTAGAGGAAACACCAAACAATTAGAGCCAAAACTACATTGATGACAACAGAAATATCATCCGAGACAAAAAAAATTAGCACCTCCGTAATAACTGGTTGGAGTGAACTTCTCGGTGGTGATTTTGCTTGGTCAGCTGACTTGCCGTGGGTTTCGTTAGCGTTGAACTCCTTGATAGAGGTGGTGACTTGCCCGGGGACTTTGGTTTAGCGCTTGGAGTGTCTTGAGCCATGTGAATAGGGAGTTCTAATCGTGTCGAAACACCATAAAGCATGACGGTAAGAAACAACTTCATATGCTAATTCATGCGAAGCCGATTTAGAAAACATAAATAATATTATCGCCTCGAAAGTTTAATAAGAAATGAGAAGATGATGCAGAAGTACACAGTAGTAAAAAATGAAAATGTACCTCTAATATTATCGTCTACTACTACAGAGACCTCCGCTTCCATGCAATTATTTGAGTCAATACAGCTGATAACTTCAACTTCTTCAACGTCTTTTGGTTCGGCGGAGTTTTTTACAGGTTCCGGATGAATCCCTTTTTGCCAATTCAACAATTTTTCAAGGAAAGCTAATGGATTTAAAACAAGGGACAATTAACCGAAGAGAAAACAGAGTTAGTGGTTAATTTATCAAATTACAAATAATTATAATTCTCTTAATCTCTAACTTGTTCACGTAAACAATGTAATATAGTTAAGATGCATGAACTAAACATACAGATATTGAAATGAATTAGCAGAATCGATCATCAATTGATGTGGTAAGCATAGAAAATGATGAAAAAATTCGTTGTTTTGGGACATGACTAGGAGAACAGCAAACCAATGTTTCTGAAAACGCTTACGCGAGGGCTGATAATCTCCTGCTGACAGGAACCATTCCTCCGCCTCCTCGGCCTCCCGACCAGTCTCCGGCTGGGTGAAATCATAGAACTTGGGCGCATCAAATTCATGGTCCATGTCAATTTCTCCCCCCTCGAAAGCCTCCCTAACGAACTCCACCATTTCTTCGTCCATCTCTCTCTCCCCCTCCCTCTGAACCAGCTTTCAGGCAAATGAGCCAGCGAATTTTAAAAGTAATTTATATCATAATATTCTGGAATGTCTTATTCCATTGCTGATTCTCCCGTTCTCAAAAAGCTTTCGGGACTTCCGACGAAACGATCGGGTTTGAAACCTTCCCGGGAAATCAAAATTCCGAAACAGATGAGGAGAGAGAGAGGTTATATATAAACATGTGTATGCATGTACTTAGAAATTTTGATAAAGCTTAATGTGAAACCTTAATTGAAATTTGTGATATGTGAAGAAGAAGAAATGGAAGATTGGATATTTGTTTTGGGCGATAATTTCGGTTGGTTTTAGGAGGGCAAACTCAGAAACAAAAGGAAAGACGACGAAGACAGAGGAGGAGGAGGACCTTTCTTAGCGCCCAAGGTTGAGAGAAATGTTCCTCCGGTTCAGAATTTGAAATGGTGGGCTCCATTCCTCTACCCCAAACGCTTGTTTTATGGGCCCTCACCTTACATTTTCGTTCGTTGTGCCAATGTCTAAAATATCGATATTATTCCGATATTTTTATCGAAATTTCCGTGTTTTTGGACTACCGATATTTCCGATATCATCGATATTTTAGATCTTGATAGGAACTCTATGTGATACTATGTCACTCATGTATCTTACCATGCAATGTATGAAGTGTAAAATATTGTACTAAGTCATTATATATAAATGATTATGGTGTGTTTAAACTTCTTTCATTAATTACTACATATTTTATATACTCACAATGTTTGTCAGCTCGCTATATAATCAACTTAAATCAGTTAAATCCATCATGCAATGTATTTCCTTCTAATTTTTTTTGTGATAAACTAATAGATAATTAACTAAATAAACATCCTGCAAAGTTTCAATAAAAATTTCCAAGTTTTTCTTACAATTTCCGTGGTTTTTATTCAATTTTTATCGATATCGATAATATTCCGATATTTCTATCGAAATTTCCATATTTTTGGACTACCGATATTTCTGATATCATCGATATTTTATACCCTAGTTGTGCCTAACTAAATGGGAGTTTTAAGGGTATAGACTATAGACTTATAGGATGCATTTAAACCTTTGGCGGTTGAATTTTGATACTATGAGCCGGTTAATTGTAGAATATTCAGACCAAATGACATAAGAATCTCAAGTTTTGTAATATTCAAGCCAAATAAGCCAATAAGCAAATTTTATTTTATTTATTTTTGAATTTTAATTCTATATGTAAACTGGTATATCAAATTTGACAACCATAAAGAATTATTTTTCTACATTTGCATGCGAGGATACATGTAGAAACGCATATTATGTATTCCAAATATATCATAACATGAATATTTAACTATATTAAATATATGTGGCTGACTTAATATGTATATGCAAAAGGAGAAGGCTCAACACTCCACATTTCTAAAATTCACAATCTACCCTTTGGTTAACAAAATTTCTAAAATCCACAATCCTACAAATTAATATCAAGAAAATAAAATAGTAAAGAATTGGTAAATAGAAAAAAAAATTGGATCTATAGGTTAAGTTGAATTTACTAAATCATGTTCTTCAATCTTATTACTTTTCTCAGTTAATTGAAATGTTGATCAAGGGACAAGACCCACAAAAATTTGAAGGGTTTTTATTCATTTTTACAGCAAAGATACGAGGTAAATAGTTGCCACTTATCTCTTGTAAAAACTTGATTCATTCATAAAAAAATCAATGAAATTTTATCATGTCATTTGAGCATTTCGAGTTTGAGGTGATGATAGCTTTTTATTTTAATTTTTAATAATAAAAAAATTTATTATAACCACCAATAAAATTACAAGGAAAATGCTAAGAAGACCACACCACACATAAACAAGGATAGCAGAGCTAACCCCGCCCCCCCCCCCCACCAATATTTTTGACAAGTTGGAGTCAGGCATTCGACCAAAATGAAAAGCCGGAATCATACAGGGAGTGGAGTTCTTATTCGCCTAATCTCAGGCCAGACATGTAACTAAAAACAACATGTCGTATATGTCTAACAATCCAATACTGTGGGTCATTATTTGGATCCATTTGTCGTGCAAACTCCTTCGGCATGCCATAAATCCAAAGATATCTCAGATTTCGGAGATGGTGGAGGCCAGATGGCACCTCCTTCAGTTGTGGGCAGGGTCCAATGTGGAACTCTTGGAGAAGAGGCATAACCCCATTGTCTATGATCAGTGAATTTAGTCCCTCCATTTCCCCGAGTTTTAGCTCCCTAAGTTTCTGAAATCCTCCTCCCTCAAAATGCAGCTGCCCGCCATCATATCCCATTTGTCCCAAACGAAGATCCAACAAATTAGGTAGATTTTGAAGGGCTTTCAAGGGGGAATCTCTCAACCTTGACAGATAAATCCCCAATTTGACGAGGTGTTGAAGATTTGAAATCCAACTTGGCAACTGCTCTAAACGCCCCCTCAAGTACAGAGACCGAATAAATTCTGGTGGAGTTGAAATGGATTCTAGATCAAGGACTTCATCTTCACTTGTAGCAGTTAAATCTAGACATTCAAGGTGATTCATCTTGTCAATAGAAGCGCACAGAGCCCTTCCATCTTCCTCTTTCAAGTTGTTTAGGCCTAACTTCCGCAGCTGCCTTAACATTCCCAGTTCTTTGATTAGTTTGATTCCTCCACTTGGCCTGGTTTTTGTAAAGCTTGTAAGCATCCAATACCTTCATGAATCTTCACTCCTCTTTCCATATTCACGCAAAAACCCATGTTATAGTCACGATAGTAGGCCAAAAGATGCCGCAGCTTAACAAGCTTATTAATCTTGGCTGGTATATCATGTAGAAATGTTGAAGAAGATATTTCTCATTATATTTTAACTGACAGTACATTGAGATATATATAGTCACTAAGACTCTTTACATAAGTGACCTTATCTTCTACAACTAATTACACAAATACCACAACTAACTATTTACTGTTGTAACTAAATTGTGACTGGGTTAGGTCTCTCAATACACCCCCGCAAGCTGAGCTTGGGATCAATTGAAGAAACAAGAGGAAGCTTGGACTTGAGAGCAGCAAAACGACTTTTGGACATAGACTTGGTGTGTATGTCAGCAAGCTGATCCTGACTACAAACAAAGTGAACCTTGATGAGATTAGCTAAGACCAACTCACGAATATAATGATAGTCAATCTCCACATGTTTAGTTCGGGCATGAAAGACCGGATTAGAAGCAAGAGAGATGGCTGAAATGTTATCACACCAGAGAGTGGGAGCCTGAGAGAGAGGAAAACCAAGGTCACGAAAATTTTTACAGATCCAAGTCAGTTCAGCTGCAGTGTGGGCTAGAGATCTGTATTCCGCCTCTGTGGAGGACCGTGCCACAGTAGCCTGTTTCTTGGCACTCCAACTGATAAGATTGGATCCGAGAAAGACATTGTAACCACTAGTAGAACGGCGATCAAAGAGACAGCCAGCCCAGTCTGCATCGGAGAAGGCTGTGAGATTAGTGGTACCCTTTCTGAACCATAGACCTTCAGAGACAGTACCCTTGAGATAACGAAGAATCCGTTTGGCAGCTTGCATGTGTTGGTCTCGAGGAGCATGCATGAACTGACAGATTTGATTCACAGCAAACGAAATATCTGGACGTGTCCATGTCAAATGTAAACCACCAACAATGGAACGATACTCAGTGGGATGAGAGAAAAGAGGACCACTGTGATCCAATTTGTTAGAGCCAAGGGGAGTGCAGCAAGGCTTCGCACCAGCCATATTAGTTTTCCGGAGAAGATCAAGTAAATACTTTGTTTGATGGAGGAAGAGACCTGTGGAAGATCTATGAATTTCTAAACCCAGGAAGTAGTGTAGTGGACCCAAATCCTTGACTGGAAAAATAGTACCGAGATTTTGAATGAAGAGACTGCATAAGGAAGAGTCAGGTCCAGTGACTAATATATCATCTACATACACAAGCACCATGACAGGAGTAGGACCAGGGAGAACAAATAAGGAAGCATCTGAGGAAGATTGCTGAAAACCAAGCTGAAGAAGAGCTTGAAACAGTTTGTCAAACCAAGCCCGAGGGGCTTGTTTGAGACCATAAAGGGATTTCCTTAATTTGCAGACATGATGCGGCATAGAAGGATCAGAGAAACCGGGAGGCTGCTGCATGTACACATCTTCCTTCAAATCACCATGAAGAAAGGCATTACTGATGTCTAACTGATTTAGAAACCAATTGAACTGCACAGCAAGAGACAAAAGGATTCTAATGGTGACTGGTTTAGCCACAGGACTGAAGGTCTCTTGAAAATCGATACCTTCCTGTTGATGATACCCCTTTGCAACTAAACGAGCTTTAAAGCGCTCAACAGAACCATCAGGTTTCTTCTTGATTCGGAACACCCACTTGCAGCCAACCACATTGTAGGAGGAAGATGGAGGAACAAGGGTCCAGGTGCCTGTTGATTGTAATGCATTAAACTCATCTTGCATGGCAGATCTCCAATGAGCATGTTTGGATGCTTGCAGATATGTAGATGGAATAAAGTCAATAGCAGATGGAAGAGGATGTTTGGTAGCTGCATAAACTTTGGGCTTGAAGATACCAGCTTTGGAGCGAGTGAGCATGGGGTGAGTATTGGAAGGGGGCAGGGACATAGTTGTTGCAGGAGAAGATACAGATGCATTATTCAGAGAATCTGTACTTGGAGCAGCAGTAGGAGAAATGGACTCTGGAGTATGGCCAACGTGTAGACTTGAATCTGGAACCAAAGGGCCAGGAAGAACACCAGGATGTTGAGAAACGGAGAACTGCAGATCAATGGGAGCGGTAACAGAGTCTGAAGACAGACCAGGGATGGTAGGAGAAGACTGAAAAGGATATGTGGCTTCATCAAACTGCACATGTCTGGAAATGTAGAGACGATTAGTGACTGGATCAAGGCATCTATAACCTTTGTGCTGTAAACTGTACCCCAGAAACACACAGCTTTTGCTTTTAGCGTCCAGCTAGGAATGAGTATAAGGTTTGAGCCACGGGAAACATCGACAGCCAAAGACTTTGAGTCTGGAGTAATCAGGTGGCTTGAAGAAGAGTAATTCCCAAGGAGATGTAGAGAGGCCAGAGATTGGCAACCTGTTAATAAGATACACAGCCGTGGAAAAAGCTTCCACCCAATAAAGATGTGGAACATTAGAAGCAACCAGTAATGTGCGGGCAGTTTCCACAATATGGCGGTGTTTTCTTTCAGCACAGCCATTTTGTTCAGGAGTGTGAGGACAGGTTAAACGATGAATAATACCATGAGTGTGAAGAAAAGACTCAAACTGAGCACCAATGAATTCACCCCCTGAATCTGACTGCAAAATTTTGATTTTTATTTCCAAGGAGATTTTCTACATATTGTTTGAATACAACAAAAGT